CGCTCAGCGCGCTGAAGCGCGAGTTGAGCACCCCCCAGCTGCACCCCGCGCCGCTGCCCAAGCTGAGGCTGGGGCTGGGCCGCAAAGCGATGCCCCGCAGCAAGAGCCACGGCAACCTGCTGGGGACGCAGCCCACGGAAGTGCCGGCCCCCATTACAAAGAATCGCAGTGCCACATCCTCCCCCCACGCGGCCTCCAGCGGCGGCAGCGAGCCCGTGAGGATCCCCTTCGAGTGAGTTGGCCAGGGCGGGCTGGGGCCGGTGTCGCAGGGCTTGGGGGTGCCAGTTTGCGGCGCCGCCGTGAGTCAACCCGCCGGGCTGCCCGCAGCCGGGAGCCAGCTTGCCCTACCCAGCGCCCTGGGCCGCCCTAGCCCCAATCCTTCCCTTCTCCCCCAGAACCTTGGCCTGGGGGATGGGAGTTGGGGCTGGCAGCGCCCGCGGGCCGCCCAAAAGGCCGACAGCGGAGCGCGTTTTCCGCGCGTAGCGGCAGTATCGAAACCCGACCCGCCACCGTTCCTACCCCCGCGCCCCGCCGCCGCCACGCCACGCCGCCCGCTCACCCCTGCCCCGCGCCACCGCCCCTGCTGTGCCTCCGCTGCAGGTTCTCCCGCCGCCGCACTCACTCTGTAGATTACAGCCAGCAGCCGGGGCTGGTGCCCGGGGAGTGCGACGACGAGATGGCCTCCACCCCCGTCATCTCTGCAGCCAGCAGCCTGATTGGGCACCACCTGGCTGACCGCGCGCCCAGCGGGCCCGGCGCCGGCCCCGGCCCCGGCAGCAGCGCCGCGGGCAGCCCGCTGTCGGGCGGCGGCGGCGCCATGATGCGCAGCCAGTCGGCGGCCAAGGACCTGTTTGTGGCGCAGGCGGACGCGGTGATGGCGCACGCGCAGGTGCAGAGCCTGCAGTCGGCGCTCCGCAAGGTGGGTCCACGCTGGCAGCCTGTTGCAGCTGGGGCGCCGGCTGTACCGCCGCTGGGCTGCCGAACGGTGTGATGGAGCGCCAGGGCCCGCAGCCTGCCGCCTGTGTGCGCAGCCCCGGCCGCCGATCTCCCCGTTGCAGCCGTGTTCGCACCCTTGCTGAGCGCTGTTTCCCCGCCGGCTTGCTTCCCGCCTGTCCTGCGTGCAGGAGCAGGAGGAGGTGGTTCGCCTGCGTGAGGCGCTGCAGCGCATGACTGCGGAGCGGGACCGGCTGCTGGGCGAGCTGGCGCAGGGCGGCGACTCGGCGCCTCTGTTCCTTATGGACAGCCCCCACCTGCCCCCGGGTGGCGGCCCCGCCCCGGGCCGCGGCCCAGCCGCAGCGCAGCAGCCGCAGCAGCCCGGCGCGGGCCTGCGCGGCTTGCGCCTGCGCTGAGCGCGCCGCCCCCGCACGACCCCTGTCACCCTGCACTAACCATCAGCCTCAGCACCACCACGCCCTCCGCGGCACGCCCTACACGCCGCCTCCGACGCGGCGGCGATGATGCCCTCCCACTTCTAGCACTCGCCCATTTAGTTTTGCCTGTGTGGCGGCGCGTGCGTCCTGCGGGCGCCTGCGCCAGCCACCCACCCGGCGCCACCTACCCCTCTTCTCTGTGCCTTGTTGCCTGCCACCCCTTCAACTCCCCAGGCGCGCCGCCACCCACGCGCGCCGCCAACGATACGATGCTCCCCTCGCTGGCGTCCTGCAAATGCCTGCCTCACAAGTCTTTTTTTTACTTCCCCGCTTTCCTGCCCCATACCGCCCTCGTTCTCCGTGCATTCACGCGTTGTACGTTAGCCTGCTCACCCATTCCGCTGTGTTGTGCATCCCCATGGCCTCGGCGCCCCCCTGGCAGCCCGCCGCAGCTGCCGCCCCCCAGGGCCCAGCTTGCGCCTGGCTGCGCCTGCGCGCCGCGTCCTTTTTCTCTCCCCCTCTCTAGACATTGCTATAGACCACTGCCCTTAATTTATCTCTGACCTGGCTGTGCTTCCGCTGCGCAGGCTGCTCCTGCCTGCCCCACGCCTTTGCTCCCCTCTCGTCGGCCTGTGCCCATTGCTCTGCGTTGTGTAGTTGTCAGTTGTGTTGGCTCCTGTCCTGCCGCCAGATTTGTTGCTGGCAAGTTGGGCCAAATGCAGCTGCTTGAAAAGGAACGCCACCATGCCCCTCCCATGCCCCTCAATCTTTTCATTCGTTTGGGTCACGGTTCGACCTGCTGCGTCCCACCCATCCATAATTTTTCAGACCGCCCAGCGCATGCACGCCTCACCTACATGCGTGCTCGATTGATCCTGCTTCCAGTGTTTTGCAAGTGCGTACCCACCAGTTTACTCCGCTCCCTCCTTTGATTGCCTACCGTCGCGTCTTGTTGTGTGTTACTTTTTTCGCAGAACAACCAGAACAACGACCCCCTCCATTTTTTTTCCCGCTTTGAGCGCGTCATTCAGTAACAACCTTCAATGAAATGGAAATGGCATCAGGAGGGGCGGCGAGGCTTGATGGTACAGTGGGATGAGGCACAGGAGGGTGCCGAAGGGAGACAAACAAAAGACAGCAGCAGAGCACTTCTCTCCTATCGGGCCTGCTGGTGTGAACCAAAATGAAAGGAATCGCGCAGCAATCAGGAGTCTTCTCGGGCAATGAAGAAGAGGCACAAGGGCGTGGGGAGTGTGGAGGGCATCGGTGACGGGAGGGCAGCTCTTGGGTGGTAGTAGCAAACAGGAGGATGGGCAGGTTTGCAGGGGCGGCTGACCGACCGAGCAGTGCGGCAGGCAGGCAACCGGGCGTGGCAGCGGCATCGCCGTCTCTAATAGAGGAGGGCGCATCAGTCGGGCTGCTGCTGCATCGAGGAATGGGCCGTGTTACCTCTCCTTCTTCTTCTCCCCGGCCTCGCCAGCTGCTGGCCCCGACACCGGGGGCTCGCCATCGCTGCGCGCCTCGCTGCCGCCGCTGCTGCCGCTGCTGACCAGGCCCTTCACCAGCTTGCCCATCTGGAAAGTGCTGAGCACAACCACAAAGCCCAGCACCACAAAGCCAAGGAAGCCCAGCGGGAAGGGCAGCTTGTTCAGGATCGGGTAGGGGAACTGCAGGCGGCCGCGGATGGAGGCAAGCAGGCGGGTGGGCGGTCCAGTCAGGGACGCAGCGTTGGCAGCGTGAGGGAGGCACAAGAAATCACGGTAGGCAGCTGGGAGCGCCTGCAGCAGGAGCGGCGGCCTGCAGCCAGAGGGATGCCTCCCGCGGGCGCCCATCCCGCCGCACCTTTCCAAAGTTGCGGCGCACCACCAGCAGCCAGGTGCAGTAGGCGACGGCGAAGAGCAGCGCCAGGTGGCGGCTGCTGCCGTGGAAGCTGCGCTCCTCCACTGCGGGCGGAGCAGTTGCGGGGGGGCCAGAGCAGGCAGGCAGGCAGGTCGGCGGCGGAGCAGCAGAGCTGCCACTCCACACAGCAGTACCCGCCGCCGCATCCAAGCACGCCCAAGAGGCACCCCACCAAATCCACCACCCCCACTTGAGCCATTGCGGCTCTGCTCCTTCTAGAAGGATAGGCACAGCTGAGGCCGAAAGGCGAGACGCAAACGACCATGAGCTGCCTCCCTCCTGCTGGCCCCAACCCACCTATGAGCAGGTCCAGCCAGGCCACCACGCTGTTGGCGACATGCACCGCTATGTGGAGCCAGGCCGGGCGCTCCAGCGCGCCGCCCTCCACCAGGCCCTGCACAGCACGCAGCGGGGGACGACGGGGGCGGCCAATGCATGGGCACACTCAGTAGGCAGCCCGCGTCGGGCAAACTGTCGGCCGGACGCAGGCGACGCGGTGCCAGCCTCAGCACAGGCCTGCACGCCTGCTGGGCGACAGGACGGATGGAAGATTCTGGCTGGCGGTCTGGTCTAGCCAGCCGGGCTCGCCTTAGTGCTCTTCTCGATCGCAAAGAAGAGGGCGGTGACGGTGTTGGCGATGCCAAAGAGCGCGCACGACAGCTGGTCCGCCGCTACGGCCAGCTTCTGCTTGCGCTTGGGGTTCTGCGGGGCGGCGGCGCATGCAGCAGCGAGAGGGGGGGTCAGGCACAGCGGCTGCTGGGGTGGGTAGCGCTAGCACACGAGCAGGCGGGGGGGATGAATGCTTGGATGCAACCAAACGCAATCCATGCGCGCTAGCTCGGGGCCTGGCAGGCAGCGGCATGGCAGCGGCGGGGCGCACCCTGGACACATGCGCCAGGCAGCACACCATCAGCTGCACCATCTGCAGTGTGTAGCTGCAAAAGGTGAGGTACCTGCAGTACCAGGCCGGATGGAAAGCAGGTGGAAGCGGGTTCATGAGCCGCCTGCACAGCTGGCCCGCTCGCCGCCTTGCGGGCCAGCTGCGGCGCGGCACAGGCGGGCTGGCGTGGCTGGCAGCCTGCGCCAAGCATCAACAGAGCGGCTGCATCCCCAAAGGCTTCCCCTCTTTGAGCGGCGGGCTGCTCACCTGAAGAACCAGCCAAAGCCTTGCGCGCCGGGCAGCACGGCGGCCGCGGGTGTGGTGTGCCACAGCCAGGTGCGCACGTAGAAGAGGAGGGCAAAGGCGTGGAACACAAAGGCGTAGTCGCCTCGGGCCATGAACCTGCAGGCATGCCAGGCCGTGGCACGTAGGGGTCGTTGAGGGGCGGCGCTTGAAGCTGGCGGCGGGCCAGCTGGCGCGAGGAAGCTGGACCTGACGCGGCGGCGGGAGGATGACGGCGGAGCGGCAGGCGAGGTGTGGCGGGCACAGCCGGCCCTCCGGCTGCCCATAGGTGATGTCACTGGCTGTCCGCAGCTGGTGGAAGCAACGCAGCTGCAGCAACTGGCCCTGAAGCCTGCATTATGCGCACCGCTCCTTGGCCTCCACCTCGACGGCAAAGGTCCGCGCTTGCGCCGCCATGGCCCCGAGAGAGCTGGAGCCTTGCATATGGCGGGCCACGGACATTAATGGCGGGGCTGCGAGGGCGCGGGAGCGCGGGAGCTTGAAGCAAAGCAAGTCAGACTGGTGGGGGCTCTGGGCAGCGAGGGCGGTGCCTGCAAGATGATGATCGCGTGCAGAGGGCAGGGCGATTGACGGAAGGGCCTGGATGCGCGCTAGACAACATCCTGCTTTGCCGTGCTACGCCCCGCGGGGTCCCCGCCAGAACCCTGACGCCTTCTCAGTTGGTCTCTGTGATCAAGCCAGTTTTCGTAGCTGCTGAATTGATAAGTGTGCGTGCGATGAGTGGGCAGGAGCCCCACCGTCTACAGGGTGCCTCTCCTTCCCGTTCAAGCCCCACTGATGCAAAGAAGCGCTTTGGCATAGACAGTGATGGGCGCAGCGGCATCCTCAGCTGGATCAGCAGCAGCAGGCAGGCAGCCACCCCTCGCCTACGCCGCCGCCGCTTCCAGTGCTTTGACTTTTGCTGCCAGCGGCCACAGCGTGGCCACCAGCTCGTCGTTTCTGGACCTCTCCGCCTCCAGCTGCTCCTGCACGGCCCCCAGCTGCTTCCTCAGGCCGTCCGCCTGCGCCGCCGCCGCCACAGCCCGCGCCTCCCAGTCGGCTCGTGCGGTGGCCAGCCGAGCCGTGTCATCTGCCCTGCAGCAGCAGCGGGCGGGGGCACCGCTGCTTGGGATGGCTCAACCAATCGGGAGAGCACGAAGCAGCAACAGGACTTGCGTTGCCTCCATCCCTGAGCGGCCACCCCACCAGGCAGCTTGAGGACCACCGCCCCACTCATGAACATGCCGCACACCTCTCTGCAGCCTCCCTCTGATCCTGATCCTTGGCTGCCGCCGCCTGGGCCGCCGCCGCCTGCAGCTGGCGGGTGGCGCCGTCCAGGTCTTCCTGCACCTGCTGCGCCCGGCGCTCTGCCGCCTCCCGCCGCAGGCGCTCAGCCAGCACCGCCTGCTGCGCTTCCTCCTTGGCGGCCAGCGCCTGAGCCGCCTGCAGCCGCACGGCAGCCGCTCAATCACAAGGCACAAGACCCATGTGGCTTTGCTCTGGCCTGTATCAACCTGCGGCTTCAAGGCACAGGCAAGGCTGCCATGCGGAGGCAGGCCTCCCTTCCCTCACCCCCTCGCCGCCCGTCCCCTCCAGCCTTGCCTGCTTGGCCGCCGCGCTCAGCTGCGCCTGCTTCTCCTTCAACAGCCGCTCCAGCTGCTGCGCCCGGCTGTACAGGCTCTCCTGGGGGCCCTGCAGCGCCGCCAGCTTCATCTGCAGGGGGAGCAGCCAGGCAGGCAGCAGCATGTGCGCTCGCCACATGCCCTCACCTCGCCCACGACACACCCTCAGCTGTCAGCTTGAGTGCACCTCTCCAGTGTGCAGCTGTTGCACAGCCAGCGTGCAGGGCATGGAGATGCATGCAGAAAGGTGCGGCCTCCCTGAATCTGCCCCAGCTGATCCGCCCGCCACGACAGGGGCCGCCCACACCTGAAGCTCCAGCAGCTCCCGCTTGCCGGCATCCGCCTGCTCGGCCAGCGCAGCGCGCTCCGCCCCCGCCGCACGCAGCTGCCGCTCCAGCCCGGCGCTGCCCTGCGCCGCCGCCGCCGCATCCGCCTGCACCGACAGCATGCGCACCGCCATCTCCTCCATCTGCCGCCGCAGCGCGGCGTTCTCCTGCGGGCCAGGCAGCAGGCATGCGCTGGAGGAGGCCGTTCAGATTGGAGGTGGCAGATTCCCTGGCGGGCAGTGCTGCGAACGCAGCCTTCAAAGGCCGCCGCGCTGCAGGGCGCAGCATGCATGCCGGCTGCCGCCTGTCGTGGATGATAGCAGTAGGTCTGCCGCACACCAACCTGCGCCAGGGCGGCCGCCTTGGCCTGCTGCTCCTGCAGCTGCCGCGCCAGCTGCTCCGCCGCAAGAATCGCCGCCTGCCGCTCCCGGCTGGCCTGCACCGTCTCGGCCGGAAACACCGCCTGCAGCGCGCCATCCCACAGCATGGCAAAGCCGCGCCACAGGCTGAGCAGCAGCAGGGCCTTGCCGCTGGCGTGGTGGGTCAGCTCAAGCACGGATTGGTGGAAGCCCAGGCTGTACACCTGCTCGAAGTGGTGGAGGAGGCGGTGGCGCCGGCGGGAGGCAGGGCTATATGAGGAATGGGCGGTAGTGACAGGTGCAGCAGCAGGGCCATACACATTGTACATAGCAGCATGCATCAGGTAGCAAGCAGGCAGGCGGGCAGGCAGGCAGGCAGGCAGGCAGGCAGGGGTGCCAAAGGCAGCAACTGTGGCCCCTGCGCCCTTGCCCTCGGCGCCTCGCCTGCAGGGCTCGGTACAGCCGCCGCACTTCCGGCTTGCCCAGGCGGTGGCGGCACACCAGGGCCTCCGGGGACAAGAACTGGGAAAACACCGTATCGGTGGTGATGCCTAGGCTGGCATCCCCTCGCCGGCTGGTCTGGGTGCCGTCGCTGGCGCCTTCGGTGCTGCCGACACTGCTGCCTTCTGCGCCGGCTTCCTGGCTGCTGCTGGCACCTCGCATGCCCCGGGCTGTGGAGGTGGAGGCATGAGAAGGTGAGGAGTGCGCTAGGTCTGATGGTGGTCGGCAGGCCAGGCTGTCCAGGTATTCGGTTGATTGGGCGCTTCGGGTGGCAACCAAGAGGTCCTGCCACACCTGCGGGCATGGAGGTGGTTGTGTTGCCACAGCGGCGGTTGCAGGCCCAGCGGGCATCGACGCCCTAGCGCATTCCACTGGCGTAGAGCTGCTCTCTTAGCTGCATCCTGCGTCGAGTGCCTGGCAACATTCCTGGCTCTGGCTACCTGGGGCAGCGACTCGCCAAACGACTTTGCCGCCGATGCCACCAACGCGGCGTCGCCGCCGTCGTCGGGCACGAGCAGGAAGGAGGGCTGCTTGGCGGCCTCAGCCTCCTTGAGCGCGGCCAGGGTCTCCCTCGTGAGATGGGCCTGAGGAACAGGTGCTGTCAGTCCAGCGGTCAGCCACATGGAGCAAGACATGGCTTCACGGAGGCGGGTCAGAGCCCTTTCACGGGATCTATGAGATGCCACAAAGTATCGGAGATAGCCGGAGAGGCCAGGGAGCGGCGCATTGGGGAGAAAATGCAGGAAAGGCTCCAGGTGTCGAGAGTGGCTTTTGCCGCTCCCCACCTCTCATCGCGGCCTGCCGATTGATTAATCCTTGGGGTGCGCCATCACACACTTGCTCACAACAATGCAGCAGGTGCGGGCCAGCAGCCAGGCGGCCCTGACTCCGGCCTCTGCAGCGCGGCCTTTTGCTGCAGCCCAGCGGGGAAGGGCGGCTTCCCGAGCTCCAGCCAGGCGCATCGAGTGCGGCAGCAGCGGTGACGGCGGCCTGGGGCAGCGCGCCGCCAAGGCGGCGGCGGCGGTGGCACTCAGCCTCACGCTGGCGGCTGGCGGTGAGGGCCGGCAGCTGCGTGCTGCATGCGGTGCTCCAGCTGGAGCTCATGCGTCGCACAGCAGCCTGTGCGCCATTAAAATGGTTGACTGCCGCCTGCGATCAACCCTCTCTCAACCTGCTCCCGGCCGCCGACCGTCTCCGCTTCACCTGTTGATGCCTCTCGGCTTCCCGTTTCTGTGCAGGTGCCTCGGCGCGGCTGGAGGGCGTGAACAAGCCCGAGTTGCTGCCCAAGGGCGAGGTCACTCCCGTCATCGACGTGGCCGGCTTCCTGACTGACGGCGAGGTGGGGGCTCTGCTGCGCCGGCATCCCGCTTGCCTGCTGCATATGCCTGCTGCGGGGCTGGCCAGCTCGGCGCATGCCGCTTGCCTGCTGGAAATGCCTGCTGTGGGGCCGGCCCGCTCCTCCAGTCGGGTGGCTCCTGCCTGGCGTCGGCACCCGGTTGGCTGGCCTGCCTCTGCGTGATGCATGGCTGACTGGGCGGCGCTGGTTGGGGTGCAGGAGAAGCGGATACGGCAGCGGGTGGATGCTTTGGAGGCGGACACAGGGGTGAAGCTGAGGGTACTGGCACAAAACTACCCCCAGGCACGACCAGCTGCTGCAGGGGTGGTGGTGGTGCGGGCGGGGGAGGCTGGGTGGTGGTGTGGGGGTCGTGAGGGAGGACGAGGCTGGCGCTGCGGCGCGCGCATGCGCGGCTGCCCGTCCCCATCCTTCCTGCCGCGCCCTGCTCGTGCGCCGCTTCCCAACCTGCCACGTTCGCCGGCGTGCCTCCCCCTGCCCCTGCAGACCCCCGGGCTGGCCATCAAAGACTACTGGGGCGTGGACTCTGACACAGTGGTGTTTGTGGCGGACCCCAACACCGGTAACATCCTCAACTTTAACGTGGGGGCCAACGTGGACCTGCTGGTGCCGCGGGTGAGCGGGGTGGGGTGGAATGGGAGGTCTGCCGCATTCGAGGCTGGCAGAGGTGCAGCTCTCGGGGCCGCTCCCAAGCCTGCCCCTGCGCCGCTGCCGACGCCGTGCGGCGTCCCGGACTGCTCTTGCTCGCATGGGGTCTGCCGCTCACAACCCGCCCTCCCCTGCCCCGTGCCCGCAGAACTTCTGGAGCCGGCTGGCGGGGCGGTTTGGCACCAAGTTCTACTGGCAGGATCAGGGGCAGGATGCGGCCATCGTGAACGCGGTGGCCGCCATAGACAACTGCATCCGGGAGCCCATCGGGCGCGGCCAGTGCAGCGCTATCCGGGGCGAGCTGGAGTGACCCTAGGCCAATGACGGCCCCTGGAATAGAAGGGGAGGGGGGCCTGGCTGCCTGCCTGCCGCTGTTCAGCTATTTTGCTGGCTTGTTCTGAAGCGTGTGAAGCAATGGAGCTCTTAAACAAAAAGGGCCGCGGCAGAGTAGCAGGGTATAGCATTGGATGGGCATGGGGCATCACGTTGGGGAGGAGGGAGCAGCACAGTGTGGGTTGATCACAAAATGGTGGTTGATCACAGGGATTCAGGGAAGAGAAGTACAGATCACTTGGCAAGGCATTGGCGCAGAAGGGAAAAGGGCTGCAGGCCTGTAGCAAAAGGGGCGGGCCAGCCACGCTGCAGTATCTGAGGGCAGCATGCTGGCGACCGCGAGCCGGCGGCTGGGCAAGAATGGCACAGGGCAGGCGCACACAAGTGTTTGATTTCACAGCACAGCAACGGGCAGCTGGGCTGCGGAAGGAAGAGGCGAGGCGCAGTGCGACCAGCGGCGCCGCTCCAGGAATGGAGAATGGAAAGAAGTGCAGGCTTGGGTCTCTCAGCCCTCATCAGGACGGGCACTGCATGCTGCCGTCCAGCAGGGCGCTGACGGTGCGGTAGTCTGCCGCTGCGCCCAGGTGCAGCTGCCACATCGCCGCGGCCACCAACACGTGCATGATCTGCGCAGGCAACGGCAGCCGGGGGGTCGGACGCGGGTGACCGGCGCACGGCGAGCAAGCAAGCAGGCTGCGCACCCACGGGGCAACACAAGCTATGCAGCATGCCCGGCAGCACAGCACGCAGCAGAGGAAGCGGATGAATGCTTCCAAGGCGGAGGCTGCCACCGCGGCACCTGGTGGCTGTTCAGGAAGAAGTCTAGAGGGGCTGCGGTGGTGGGGTCCTCGGGCTGCAGCCAGCGCTCCGGGATGCGCAGCACGTTGAGCAAGCCGCCCGCCAGCGAGCACACCTGAGGGGGGCAGGCAGGCAGGCAGGCAAGGCGCGCCCGGGCCAGGGTCGGGGTGCGCAGCAGGCGCACGCGGCCGGCGCTGGCAAGGGGACAGCTCAGCCAACAGTCGCCGCCGAGCGGCGTGCGACGCGCGCCAGGCCGCCGTGCGGTGCGGGCGCTCTGGCGCAGTGTGCCCGCACCCGGCCTACACCCGCACCCGCACCCGCACCCACCTCCATGGCGGCATAGTGCTGCAGCGCCACGCTGGGCGGCTCCAGCAGCAGGCGCGCGGCAAAGGCGGAGATGCGGACGAGCAGCAGGGCCAGCATGGGCAGGCCGCGCCCCGCCGCGGTGCGCGCCCGCAGCGCCGCCCACACGCAGCCCGCGGCGCAGCCGTAGTAGAGGAGCGCAAAGGTGGCGCGGGCGGCGGGGTGGCAGTACAGGCCCCACCACAGCACCATGTGCCCGCCGCCCACCAGCACCAGCAGGATGCCGCAGACCTGCGGACAGGCAGGCGGGCCGAGTCCACGTCGCAAGCTCAGCAGGCAGGCAGGCAGGCAGGCAGGCGGCAGACAGCGCGGACGCGCAGCACAGGGCCTGCCCCGCCCCGGGATCCCCGACACGTGCCGGACGCGGCTGCGCCTGCCGGCGCCGGCGCCAGCTCAGCACTCACATCCAGCTTGAGCCAGTGGTCGTGCTGGTGGTGGTTGGCCATGCAGGTGTGGTACAGCACCGATCCCAGGAAGCAGGCGGCGATGGAGCCAACGTTGGCAGCAAAGGCCAGCCGCGCGCCCTGCCACGCCTGCAGCTGCCCGCCCAGCACCAGCACCACCAGCAGCAGCGCGGGCAGCAGGTGGGTCCAGATGTTGCCTGCGGGCGGGCGGGGCGGGGCGGGCGGCATGCCGGTTGCCTGCGTGGGCTGGGCCAGGGCAGGCCCAAGAGCTGGCAGGCCAGGCCAGGCCGCCAGCTGGCGCTGTCATGCCACCAGCGGCAGCCGCACAGGGCCCACGCACCCGTCTCATTGTGTAGCGACAGCATGCTGCGGCAGCACTGCGGGTATGACAGGCCCGCCCGGTAGCCGCTGCGGATGAACTTGTTGAAGCGCAGCGCCTCTGGCGCATCCAGGAAGGAGTAGAGCTGGTGCTGGCGGCCCGCGGGGCGGCCCTCTGCGGCGGCATCATAGTAGCTGCAACGCACGGTCGGCGCGCCCTCGCCCTCGCCCGCCGCCGGCGCCGACGCGGCCCGCACCAGGCCGCCCGCCTTGCTGACCCGGCAGGTGCACTCTGCATGGCGGGCAGTGGGGAGGGGCCTGAGGGGCCTGGTGTAGCCGAGGGGCCAAAAATGGCGGTACGCAGGCTGTGGCGCCCGCCTGGCCTCCAGGCTTGCAAAAACCGGCTGGCATGGCGGGACGGCACCCGTAGTCGCACCTATGCTGAATGCCGACAGGGTGCTGACCCGCGACATGCTGCCCTTCTTCTTCTGCCGCTTGGGAGCTAGGAGCGCGGCGGCCACTGCTTGTGCCGCCGACGCGGCGGTTGCCGGCGGGCCGCCCTTGCTGCCCTCCAGCGCCTGGGAGGGCGCCGCCTGCTTGGGGTTGCCGGCTGGCCATCCCTCGGAGCCCTGGCCCACAGCCATCTCGGGCACGCGGCCCTACAGGGGCTGGGGGGTCAGCGTGTCCTCGGGGTTTGGGACCCACCCAGCGCCACCCCTTCCTCACAGCGGTGCGCAGGAGGCAGAGCTGAAGATAGGAACGCTGGGCAGGGGCCTAGTTTTGATGCCCTGATGACAGCGCGCGCCAGCGGGCGCATTGGCTGGCCGACATGCATGCACCTTCCTGCCGCCTTTCATTCATCCCACTGATCGTTGGAACCGCCATGGCATCGGCCACAGCCCTCCCGGTGCAGCCGCAAGTCCGCCTGCTCCACCACTCGCCAGCAGGTGGGCTCCAGAGGCGCCGCTGCGCGCCAAGCTCTTCCACCTGCCCATGTGTCGCCGCCGAAACGGCACCTGTGTGCCATCCCGGCGGGGCCGACCACCGCCTGCCGCTCACTGCCCGCCGCCGCCGCCTTAACAATTGCAGGGTGCGTGATAGTCCACAAGCCGCCTGGGGTGCCGTTCCACGCCACCGGGGACCAGCCTGGCCTGATGCAGCTCATCCGCAGCCAGCAAGGGCAGGCGCACCTGCCATATGAGGGACCGCTGTGGCCCGTTCACAGGTGAGGTGCGGCCAGGCGGCTGAACGGGCGCCATTGTGATGCGCTGCTGATCCGGGGTGCCAGGGGTGCCGCCGTGCTGACGGCCTTGATATTGGGGTGTCGGGAACGATGTATAACTGCCAGTTGGACGGGTGGCTGCGGCCATGCAAGCTGGCCTTCACAGCGGCATTTCCCTGCCTGCACTTTGCTCTGCCTCCCCTTGCCGTCCTCCAACTGCCCGCATCGCCTCGTGCCTGGCTGCCAGGCTGGACTTGATCTGCAGCGGCTGTGTGGTGCTGGCCACACGGCAGGAGGCCGCAGGGGAGCTGATCGGCGCCTTCCGGCAGCGCCAAGTCCATAAGTACTACTGCGCCCTCTCAGACAGGCGGCCCTCCAAAAAGATGGGCTCAGTTGCGGGAGAGATGCAGCGGGGGCGCAGGTGGGTGGCGCCAGGAGGACGCATGGGCTTGTGGCTGCCCGTGCTTCAAGCTTGCTCGGCCCTGGCCAGGCAGAGCTTGTCAAGTGCTCACTCCCCATCCCCGCCGCTGCCTCCACCGCCAAACCCTTGCAGGGGCGCCTGGATGCTGGCACGCAGCTCTGCTGCGCCAGCAGCCGATGCGCCAGCCCCTCCCGTCTATAAGGCGGTCACGAGATTCACCAGCACGGCAGTGCTGGGCAGCCGGCCGGGCCTGCGGGCCTTCCTGCTCAAGCCTGAGACGGGGCGCACGCACCAGCTGAGGGTGGCTCTGAAGAGCCTGGGATCCCCAGTGCTAGGCGACGAGGTGCGGCATGGCGGCGAGCTGCTCTGGCTGCTCTACTGGTGCCAACCAATCAGCAATGCCTGCTTAGTGGCTGCCATCCGCGGTGCAGCAGAATGCCTCTGCAGCACGCTTTCCCCTGTAGAGATCAAGGATCAGACATGCTGCTTTCCCGCCCTCCCGCCCGCCCCTGCAGCGGTATGCGCAGAAAGAGGCAGCGGCGTGGGAGGAGCGCGCATACCTCCACTGCGCGGCGCTGCGGTTTGAGCTGGGCGGGGCAGCCGTGCAGGTCGTCTGCCCGCCTGAGCACGGCGCCGAGTTTGCAGACTCGCCAGGCTTCCGTGCCGTGTTTGACGCCTGGCTGCCGCAGTCCATGGAGCAGGAGCTAGGGCCTTGGTTTGCCGACAGCAAGCTGCTGCGCAGCAGCTTACAGTAGTGACCAGATGTGTGTAAACGTCAGGCAAGCAGGCAGAAGTGCCGGGCGGCAGAGGTTGCGCGGGCGCGGCAGGGTGTGTGGCAGTGTCGGCGGCTAAGTGATGTCGTAAAACAGTCCAGAACAGGAGGTGATGGTAAGGCGTAGAATGAGGTCATACAAGTGGAATGCATAATACCGAAGAACAGTGCAAGTAACTTCAGTGGCAGTGTCGCTAAGTGGCAGCCGCAGCGGCTGCAAGAAATGCGCGCCCGGCCTGCTGGCCAGCCAAATGGGCAAGGGCGCGGGCGCGTTGCGCGGCTAGGGCGCCTCCAGGTGCTGCTGCGCAAAGGCCACCAGGCGTGGCACAATCCGCGCCGAGGTCTGGGGCTGCTCGTACGTCACCGCTATGTAGCAGGGCCTGGCGCCCAGCCGGCTTCGGTCCACGCGGCACACCGCGATGCCTGTGCTCTGCTCAGGCTCGCAATCCACCATGCTGCGCCCGTACACCAGCGGCGGGTGGTATCTGTGCACCTGCAGATGGCAGGTCGAGGGGAGGCTTTGCCTGGGTGGCAGGCAGGGTCCAAAGGGGCGACTGCACTTTGTAGCCTTGCCATGCGCACGCAGGGCAGCAGCGGCGCACCGTACCTCGTATCGTCTGCCTTCTAGCCGCAGGCCTCTAGACATGGCTGCGTCGCGGCCCTCAAAGCTGGCGGCCAGCTGCTGCGGCTCGCCCGGCAGCACCTGCAACAGCGGAGTGGAAGGGCGGTGGGTGGAGTGGTGGCGGCGCCCGGCTTGTGCCGATCAGGCAATGCTTGAGGCCATCATCCCAGCTGCACGGGAGCCCTGTTCTGGTGCCAGTGTCAAGCTAGGGAGCAGAGGCGAACCTTGCAGTTGGCGTAAAGCACTGCGCCCTTGCCATCAAACACCGCAACTCGTGAGCAGTCCTGCAGGTGCCGCTTGGCCTCGTCAGCCACGTGAGCCGATGCGGAGGCCTCCATTGCACCCGCCGGAAGCAGGATGCGGCCCAAGCGCCAAGGCCAAGCCCACGGGTCAGTGGGCGAGGAGAGATGAATCGAATCAAGCGATTTGTCTTGCGATCCATTCTGTGCGCTGATGTCAAGTTGGCGGAGCGGGACGGCGGAACGGCGGATGCGGGACGGCGGGAAGGGGTGCTTGCACGCAGCCACATGCACCTCTACTTCATGCCCCGAGTGGCTTGCTTCAGGGTGCTTCAATGAAGTGTTGATTGGCCCGCTGGTTGACAAGCGCCTGCCTGGAGACCACGCTGTGGGGGTGTCAAAACGCCGCACATTTAAGAACAGGCAGGCCACCCCGGTTGGATGGGCATGCCCTCACTGTCGGCGCGTCCTCCACATGGCTGGCAGGGGCTGCAGCACAGCTCCAGCATGATCCTTGCATCAAATTCGGCGGCGAGCGCCGCTGGGCATGCTGAGAAGCCGGTTGAGCAGCTGGGGCGAGTCTGGAGCTTTTTCACAACCTGTTGTCGTTTCATGTTCAACTACAGAGGAACACTAGGCTGCATGAGGCAGAGCCCGGTGCCTTTCGGTGCCCTGCTGTTTGCAGCGCTGGGAGTGTTGGCGGGAGGCGCTCAGGGTGAGTGCGCAGCGTACAATAGTTGTCAATGCCATCAGATCCAAGCCATGGGGTTTAGGCAGCAGTCGCGGGCGGGTCCCTTGCACATGCTGCCCGCGCCCCAACACCGCGGCCTGCCCCTCCCTGCCTGCAGGTGCCAAGGTAACGCGATGCAGGGGTTCCTGGCTGCGCTGTGCACTTGTATAGGCGGCGCCTTGGGCAGGCACCAGCGGCCTGGCTGCCGCTTTGGGCAAACGGTGGCGGCGCCGGCACCGGCGGGGTGGCCAGCTTCCTCCGCTGGCCTGCCCACCCTTTGCCTGTGCTGTCCTTCTGCTGCGCAGTGCAATAGGAGCCTGACGGGATGTGCGGAATGCACGAAGAACTCTAGCACCTGCTCGCTGTGCCGGGCCGGCTACCGACTACTGAGGGCGGGCACGTGTGTGCCGTGCACAGCCAACTGCCTGCTCTGTCCCACCGGGGCGGGAGTGTGCAGCATGTGCGCTGACGGCTACTACAGAACGACAACGGGGAGATGTGCTCTGGTGGGTGTCGACCGCTGGCTGGCAGCTGGGGTCCCTGCCGCCATCCCTGCTGCCGCTCCGACGTGGCATGCATGTGTTGTTTTGCTGGCTCTGGGGAAGCCCTGCTTGCTTGGAAAGGTTTACACTCCATATGTTAGCAAGAGAAAGCTTGCAGCACAGGGCCCTTCATCAGTAGCCTCCCTTGCCCTGCCCTAAACCCCTTGCCTGCCTGCCTCCGCCCATGCAGTGCCAGAAGGGGTGCGCCGGGAAGTGCGCTGCCGATGGCTCCTGCCCGGGCCGCTGCCGCCCGGGCTATGGCAAGGTCGGCAGGAATTGCAGACAGGTGATCCGCCCGCCTGCTGCTTGCCAGGCAACTGTCGGTCAGCGCATGTGTTGGACAGGTGCCTCGCTGCCGCAACCCGACATCGACCTCACATCAGCTGCCCACCACCCTCCATCTCGCCCGCCTCTCCTGCGCATGCAGTGCACCAAACCTAACTGCGAGAACTGCGACGGCAGCAAGGGGATTTGCCGGCGCTGCGAGGCGCTGGGGTATGGGCTCGTCGGCGGTGCCTGCAGGCTGTGTGCTGTGGAAAACTGCGACCTCTGCGTTGACGGCAACCTGAAGGCCTGCCAGACATGCGCTTTTGGTTTCTACCTGACCCCTGGAAGGAAGTGCGAGCGGGTGAGCGGGGCAGCAGGAGCGCTGCCGGGTGGTGCGTGGCCTCCAGCGTGGGGCGGGCACCACTGGCCTGCACCGCCTGCACTGCGTGGCGCCAGGCATGTTGCCGGGACCTGAGCTTACTTGCGGCTGGGCGTGTGTGCGTGCAGTGCTCTGCCGGGTGCATGGAGGGGGAGTGCCGGCCTGATGGCACCTGCAAGCAGTGCAAGAGCAAGTTCGGCCTTGTCAACGGAAGGTGCAAAGCGGTGAGCAGGGTGTGGAGCGCGGCCTGTGTTGCTCTGCATGGCAGCCTGCACACGGTCTCCCTCCCCATGTGAGGGGTTCAGCCCGGCCCGCCCTGTAAACACGCCGCCCCTGGTCTGTGTGTGCCCGGCACCCGCACCCCACCATGGCGCATCGCCCAACTCCCTTGCGACTCCCTGGCTGCTGCTCCCCGGCCCCCACACCCGCGCCTTAAAACCCTCGCAGCCTGTTCAGCACCCAGGAGCGCCCTCCCTGCATGCAGTGCGTGCTGCAAGACAACTTTCCCGACGAGCAGTCCTGCCTGCGGTGCGACGGCAACGAGTTGAAGTGCACCAAGTGCGAGCTACACCACGGCCTGATGAGCCCAACGTACTGCCAGAAGGTGGGGTCCCACACCTCGGCAAGGCGTGGAGGGCAGCCTGGGGGCCGGCGGGTTGCGGTCACACACGCTTGCCGAGGCGGCGGCCGCATGCCCCAGCCCTAACCCCAAACCATGCCACGACTTACCCCCACCCCACCCCAACCCAACCCACTGCACTCCATTCATTGCTGCCCTGTCTGCAGTGCGACACAGACGTTAGCGATGATACATGCGACCAGTGCGACGGCGACATATTCAAGTGCAGCCAGTGCGGCGCTACACAGTTCCTCATGCCAAACAAGCTCTGCAAAGATGTGAGCCGGTGTTGTGCTCGTGGCATCATCGTGCTTGTATGGTGTGGGTGGGGAGCTGGGGGTGCATTCAGCACGGGGCCGGGGACACAAGCTCTGCACGCCGTGCTCAGTCGGTAGGGAGCGTGGGGTAGCCTGCGGGCGGGCGCAGCGCAGGGCCCATTAGCCGCTGCCCACCGCGCTCCTGCCACTGCTCGCGTGTCTTGCTGCACCCCAACCCGACCGGCCCCCGCTCCCCTGCAGTGCTCGGCAGCTATGGGCAACTGCGCCGCCTGCACCAACGCCACCACTTGCACCCAGTGCTGGGTGGGGCACACACTGGTGCGCGGCGCCTGCGTGCCGTGCCCCCGCGGCTGCGACGAGTGTGGGGGCAACCCCGCGATCTGCAAGCGGTGTAGCCCTTTCCACGTGTTGGCGCGGGCTACGGGGCGCTGCATCCCGCTCTGATGGAGAGCTGGCGATGTCAGGGCTGACAGCTGATCCCACTGCTCTCGGCCGCAGCCTGTGTGGACATACCGCCAGGCAGCAGCATCGCATCAGCTGCACTCTGTGTTTTTCCCCTCTGGGCTGCTGCTGCCGCTGCAATAGGACGCACCGCGGCTGCAAGAGGGAGCGAGGCTTTACAGCACAAGTGCCAGCAATGGTGTGGGAGTGGGAGAGTGGGAGAGCAAAACAGGAAGAGCAAGGGGGCCAGGCGGGGCGCTGTTGCGCGCCGCGTGGCAGCGCAGCTGCCGGTCCCAGGCTACCACGGGCCGAAGCGGGCATCGGCACGGTTCGGCGAGCCTACGATGCAGCGGTGGTGTGGGTGCCCTCGCAAGGCATGCCAGCGGTGGGCATCTCATCCAGGGGGGCCACCAGCGGTGAGCATGCCGTCATGAGTCGCGCACATTGAAGTCGGCGACCTCGGGAGGCACCACCACCTCCTTCTGGGCCTGCAAGCAGGCGCCCAGGGCGCAGCGCGGGCAGGCGTGGGTGAGCAGGCGGGGGCACGGCAACCCGCGGCTGCGCCTGCGTCCCTGCGCAGCTGAGAACCCTGCCTCAGAGC